GAAAGGGGGATCGATGAGGGAATGCCGGAAGAAGCTTCCTGGCTCTTCGCCAAAATCCCATTTATACATATTGGACGGCATCTTGAAAGTCTGAGTCGATGGCCTTCTCGAGAGCGGAATGACCCCGAATCCGCATTCGGATGCTCCGTCGACTCTGTCACTTGCGAATGGGAGTTTCCGAAACCCCATTCCGGGCTCGCCGTTGGGAACGATGGACCTCGAGGGGGAGATGGAAAAGAAATAGAGATGGAAAGACGGACCTTCACTTGCAACTTCGGAGACAGGGACGTCTCGCTGCTTCGCCATGTAGCCGAGAACGGAGAACACGACGAAACCGGCGAAGAAACTCGTGCCAGAGTTGACGAAGCAGACGAAAATCGCCTGCCTGGAGAACACCGACACCGACCTTTCAATGCCGATCCGTCGAGAGCGCGAAAATCGGGGGGGCGATCCACCCGCCACACGTACCGATAGCAGTTGTTGTGGAACTTGTTGTAGCTGCCGAGAGCGATGAGAGTGCCGAGAGCGAGGCCGTACGAGAAGAAGATCTGCGTCGCTGCATCCGTCCAGACCTGCAGGGAAAAGCGACGGAGTTCCTTCAAACCGTCGTGGAAAGAAAACCTCCTCGTCCAATCCTCCTCTTTCCACTTCCAATCCTCCTCTGTCCACTTCTCTTCCATCTGCCTCAGTCTGTCCTCGTCTTCGGTGTGAATGGGACCCTTTCAACGCCTTCTCGTGTGAATGGGCTCCTCGTCGTATCTCCTCGCCATTTCTCCTCGCCCTTTCATCGTGTTTTCGCACGACGACAGAAAGGGCTACCCGCGTTCGAACTCGTAATCGACAACGCTGTAAATGCAAAGGCTTTTACGACTCGCCAGACGACGCCCGACCCGAGCCTATCGTGGAATCCGACCGAATTTCTCTCTTCCTATCGGGGAAAAACCGAAAAGCAGAAACGTCGGATTTACTTGAGGTTCTTGGAGCCTGCTGAAATCCGGAGTGAGATAGTACTTGATGCCGAGTTCCGCGCCGGGCAGCGTGATCCCCCTCACGAACAAGCACAACATGCACAAGTACGGGAACAGAGCCGTGAACCACACCACCTACAAGAAAAAAAAACATAAAAAACCCCCCCAAACTCCCAAATTTCCCCAATTCGAAGCGGAATTTCCGCGAACCTTGCCGGTCCATTTGACCCCCTTCCAGATGGCGAAATAGACGAGGACCCAGGCGACGAAGAGGGCGAGCACGAGTTCCCATTGCAATCCCCCCGCCTCGTCGATTCCCTTCGAGATCTGCAGGACACGATTGCTGCCGGAACGGAAAACAAATCACGTCCGGATCGAACGGGGAAAAAAGTTGCGGCTTCGTCGCTACACGAAGTGCATCCTTTACGAGGGTCAGTCAAATGAAAACCGGAAAATCGCAATATAAAATAATTCCCTGTTGATGGACGTTCATAACTTCCAGTGTATGTTTGCAGAGATCGTGCGAAGATCTGTCATAGCTGGCAGCACCATGCGACCAGAAAGAACAGAGCAATCGCTTAAGCAACATGGCGCTCACAGTGCCTTATGCGTCCAAGGAAACCGGGCGTGCCGTAATTTAATGTCTGACTGCTGAAGGTGTGCCATCCATCGAAATCATTCCCGAATGAGTGTTGCTGACACCAACAGCTTTTTACCACGGAGGCACGCGTACAAGTGGTGCAAACGTTTCCGAAGCGGGCGCGAGAGTTTCAAGGATGACTCACGCCGAGGTCAGGTCGACGATGTCGCCACAGAAATGATAAAAAATGTGGACGAGTTCAAACGGAGTAACAGAAACGTTTCACCGGATGAATCAACTGCGGATTGAGGAATCAGTCACAGCTCAATTCATACCGTAATTTCGATGGATGGCACACCCTCAGCATTAAATTACGGCCCGGTTTCCTTGGACGCACAAGGCACTGTGAGCGCCATGTTGCTTAAGCGATTGCTCTGTTCTTTCTGGTCGCATGGTGTTGCCAGCTATGACAGATCTTCGCACGATCCCTGCAAACATACACTGGAAGTTATGGACGTCCATCAGCAGGGAATTATTTTATATTGCGATTTTCCGATTTTCATTTGACTGACCCTCGTATATTTATTCTATTTTCGCACAATAAGATAGCTTCGGCGCTGCGAAGATAAATATAAAGAAGATAAAGAACAACACGAATCGCAGCGCCTACTTTCTCTCGTCATTTGATGCCGCTGATGACAGCTTTCCACCCGTAAGAACAGAATTCGGGTTCCCAGAAAAATCAAGAAAAAGCGCAAGACCGATTTAAAAA